CGCGGGCAAGAGGGACAAAGAGATGAGGAGGCAGGGAACAAAATTCTTGAGCTGCCTCTAAAAATAAAGAGAACACCCCGTTGTTCTCAGGATCCGTGTACGTAGGTTATACAGAGGTAGCAAAGGAGGATAGAGAATAAGATAGAAGGGAGAAAAAAAAACACACACACACACACATACACACGTAAAATAGGAAGAAAGAAAGGGGGAGAAAGCGATAGGAAAAGAAGGAGAGAGACAGAATGAAGATCAAGAGTAAAAGAGTGGAGAACAGCTGGAGTGGATCGTGTTTACGCGCCGTATGACTGGCTAGATGAGTCAATCGTAGACCCGTTGTCTAGGAGCCGCGTAGTGGGGGAGCTACTACTTCACTGACCTATACCACGGACGTCGTATAGCAAAGGGAGACCGCTAGAGAGACGATGCATCGCGTATATACGTATGTACGTACATGAATGTTTCGTGACGCACAGAGCACACCGCCGCTGCCGCCACTGTTTTTATTCTTACATACAAGAGTTCCGGCATGAGCTACAGTTTAATGATCTATTGACCACTCGAACCGCAATTCTTCGCGACCGTTTTAATTTTATTCTCCCATGCATTCGAAGCAATTTTCGCGTAGATTTGCAAATCAAATGCCACCGACGTTGTCTTCAACTGTTTTTACATAGGAAACGGAGAAATCCGCGTAAAAGACGAACAAGTGGCTTCCGTTTCGACGATGTTCCCGTCGACCACGTAGCCGGCTGTTTCTTCCTGAGGGCATGGCAGGAAGTTTAGGCGAAGCAGCCGGTAACGAGTCGATAGTTAAAAATACGTATAAAAAAAGAGAGAGGGGAGGAGAGAGCGGTTAGGAGGGAAGATTGAAATAATCCACGGAGTCGTGGTTCCCGTGTATTTTGCGAGAATTTCGCGTTAGTCTCGCGGCCGGAAGTACAAGTATAGCAAGAAGGGAGGGATATAGAGAGAGCGCAGGAGAGAGAAAAAAAAAACAGGGAAGCGGGAGGAGATGATCTCGGTATCTCTGGTGGGGATTCAGAAACGTACGAATACGTTGGTGGTATTGGAAAGATGGCGTAAAGAGACGTATAGACCGAAAGTGAATCTCTCTACATCGTCTCTATTCTACGGGGAACGGATTCATACGTACTTGTATTTTTGTATAACGAATGACCACGAGCAGATGCAATCGATAGAGACGACACCTAACTTTTTTCCCCAAGGCAACAAAAATATCCAAGACGACTTTGATATACGGCATGTAAAGTGTGTGACGTTAATAGCTGTGAACAAGTCATTTAGCGAAATATCTCTATACAAGTACACATATGTACATCGACACTCGCATTATCGGGAATTTATGTAGCTAACCAATTGAAAAAAGATACGCGAGAGAGTTTATCGTACGATTTCCTTCGGACGAGTTACTATACTAATAAACGCACCGTTATTTCTTCCTCAGATACGGGTTATCTTCTGGGCGATATTGTTTGCAACCGTGATCGCAGAACATGTAATAAGAAAAATACGATAAAGGCGATCGACAATGTTGATAATATTAATCGACGATTTTTATCCGAACTTTTCTCGCTGATTTCCATCTGACCGAGCCTTGAGAAATAAGAGGGCAGATTCTGGCTCACGGCTGCGATCCAGAAACGCAAATTTCAATCGTTTGTACGTGTGTGTACGAAAGAGAGAATCTGTCCACAGGAACGATGAAAGGGACATGTCGCGGAGGATGTAACCGTGTAAGGCGAGTTCTCACGTACCAGGACTTGGAGGCGGAATTCCGCGTGCATCTAAGTGCACGAATGACCCTCAACCCGTGGAGGAGGGCAGCGGCAACGGAAGAAGGATGGAGTGACACGGTGCGAAGTGAAGAGAAAAAACACCGAAACTGTTCGTACAGCATAAACAAAGCGGTCGTGGATACTATATTCGTACGTGTATCTGCATATGCATGTACGCGTTGCACGTTGGCGGACGTACGCGCGCGATACACAAAGGCGAGATATAAGTTTAGGAACGGTGTGTGTATAGCGGTATACGAGATGCATATACGTGTATCGAAGAATACGCCAAGAAAGGAAAAGAGATAAAGAGGAAGGAAGGAGAAGAGAAAGAAGATAGGATGAAGATGAGGCTGGACACGCCGAGAGTGGCAGCAGCAGAAACAGAGAGAGAGAGAGAGAGAGAG